CGGAGTGTATCGTACGTCTCGTTCAGGGCCTTGTTGCACTCTTTATGCGGAGTTCGATATCTGTCATCTTTAATCCGAAGCAGGTCATTTTATCCGAATTATTATACGATCTAGTTAAGATAACGGAAAAAAACAGCTCCGGTGATCCGAGGAAAGTTAATTTATGCCGAGATTTACGTATACGGATTAACATAGGGTCCGGATAAAACGAAACCTCGTTTATCCGAATATGGTTCCCTTCTAAGAGCACGAAATATTCGTTTAATTCGAGGGAAGTCGTTTGATCGAGACGATCCTGTCAAGGAGCGCTGTTTGCTCCGGTTAGAAACTTTGTCTGGGACTTCTCTTATCCGAATCTCATTTATTATAGCTCGTTGTTTCCGTCCAAAACTCTATATAACCTCTTTAATTGAATCTAGGATTCACTTATCCGGATTTTCGTCTAAGTATTGCCATGCAAAAATATTTTCGGTTAGCCGAAATGTATTAAACATATAAATAATAGATTTATATGTGAAGATTACAGATGGAAAATACATTAATTGGAATAAATGATAAACTTAATCGGGAAATTGTCATAAAATTAATAACTTAAATAATTGTTTTAACAATTGGGCGAGAAATCATTGCCTTGTGTGGCCTGATGGTCGGTTGTTACCGAGGGTACGGAGAGCGGGAAGATAAAGGCTGTCATCCTCGATATGAATATGAAATTGTGATTTAATATTGAAATCCCTGAGCGAGAACTGTGTGCATGCAATTCCAAGTTTTAATGCAATATCCGTGTTATTGAGTAGGGCGGCAGTGGAGGAGTGTGTGTGTGTTCTCACCTTGTGGTGCTTGCGGGGGTTGAGCTCTGGCTCTTTGGTCCCGTCTCTCAACTGTCAATCAACTGGTGTACAGGTTCCTGAGCCTATTGGGCTCTATCATATCTACACTTGAAACTGTGTATGGAGTCAGCCTCCACCACATCACTGCTTAATGCATTCCTTCTGTTAACTCCTCTGACACTGAAAAAGCTCTTTCTAACGTCTCTGTGGCTCATTTGGGTACTCAGTTTCCACCTGTGTCCCCTTGTTCGTGTACCACGCGTGTTAAACAGTTTATCTTTATCTACCCTGTGAATTCCTCTCGAGAATTTTGTAGGTAGTGATCATATTTTTCCAAGCTTGGTGTGTGTATGCGCGCGCGTGCGTTCCTGCAGTATATTATTCTGAATACTATTGGCTAATAACTTTATGTATCTTAGTCGTGCAGGCGAGGAGTCACAATAACGTGGCTGAAATATGTTGACCAGACCATACACTAGAAGGTGAAGGGACGACGACGTTTCGGTCCGTCCTGGACCATTCCACAACCGACTTGAGAATGGTCCAGAACGGACCGAAACGTCGTCGACCCTTCACCTTCTAGTGTATGTGGTCTGGTCAACATCTTAGTCTTGTGTTAAGGAGTTGTCCCTGCCGCTCTTAGTGGTGTGGGTCTGAGGGAGGGGTGGAACAGGTATAGAAGAGGTTGCGAGATGGAACGGACGTTCTCTTCCTGGGTGTGTCGGAATTCTATTTCTAAACAGCTGTTTATTACATGGGATTACTTCTTTGTTTGGCGTCAGGCACCACAGGTCAATATTAAGGTCACAGAACAAGAGGTCATTATTAAGGTCACAGGGGCCAGAGGTCAATATTAAGGTCACAGAACAAGAGGTCATTATTAAGGTCACAGGGACCAGAGGTCAATATTAAGGTCACAGAACAAGAGGTCATTATTAAGGTCACAGGGACCAGAGGTCAATATTAAGGTCACAGAACCAGAGGTCATTATTAAGGTCACAGGGACCAGAGGTCAATATTAAGGTCACAGAACAAGAGGTCATTATTAAGGTCACAGGGACCAGAGGTCAATATTAAGGTCACAGAACCAGAGGTCATTATTAAGGTCACAGGGGCCAGAGGTCAATATTAAGGTCACAGAACAAGAGGTCATTATTAAGGTCACAGGGACCAGAGGTCAATATTAAGGTCACAGAACAAGAGGTCATTATTAAGGTCACAGGGACCAGAGGTCAATATTAAGGTCACAGAACAAGAGGTCATTATTAAGGTCACAGGGGCCAGAGGTCAATATTAAGGTCACAGAACCAGAGGTCATTATTAAGGTCACAGGGGTCAGAGATCAATATTAAGGTCACAGAACCAGAGGTCATTATTAAGGTCACAGGGGCCAGAGGTCAATATTAAGGTCACAGAACCAGAGGTCATTATTAAGGTCACAGGGGCCAGAGGTCAATATTAAGGTCACAGAACCAGAGGTCATTATTAAGGTCACAGGGGCCAGAGGTCAATATCAAGGTCACAGGGACCAGAGGTCAATATTAAGGTCACAGGGACCAGAGGTCAATATTAAGGTCACAGGGACCAGAGGTCAATATTAAGGTCACAAGGACCAGAGGTCAATATTAAGGTCACAAGGGCCAGAGGTCAATATTAAGGTCACAGGGGCCAGAGGTCAATATTAAGGTCACAGGGGCCAGAGGTCAATATTAAGGTCACAGGGGCCAGAGGTCAATATTAAGGTCACAGGGACCAGAGGTCAATATTAAGGTCACAGGAACCATAGGTCAATATTAAGGTCACAGGGTCCAGAGGTCAATATTAAGGTCACAGGGACCAGAGGTCAATATTAAGGTCACAGGGGCCAGAGGTCAATATTAAGGTCACATTTAACCTTAAATTAGTCAAATCTTCATATGTGATACGTTAAATATCTTCCATCTGCCTGTGTAGGCTTAACCGGAGATATCGTGTGTGGTGTTGATAACGTTAGTTATATGACTTCGTTATCTTGTGGTACTCGTAAGATATCAAGAAAACCACAGTAACGAAATATAATCCTTGAAAAAAATCCTTGGAGCATTTTGACGGGATCGAACCTTCGTCTTGGATGACCCAGAAGAGCGCCTTAACCAGTGGACCACGACATGCTTAAGAGATACACAATGTGGGGTCCGGCCTAACCTAACTTTCTGGAGATTTGGAAGTGCCGAGTTGGTACCCAGTTCAATTTGTCTTTAGATATCTTCACAATTTAAAGATAATTCATGATAATGTATCTTTTTGGGGGGGTTGGGGGGGGGGGGTTATTTAAAATGTATTGATGATTTAGTCATTGTTTCGTTATTCATTTATTGCTAATTTCGTGTTTATTTCATTATGTGTTATGTGTAGACTCATCGCAGTGAATGTTCGTTGAGTCTACATCAGGTCTTTCATTATTCATTTATTCCCTGCATTTCTATCCTCCCGAACACCAGATCACCTTCAATGGAAACAAAAGAGTGTCTCTGTGCGCTGATGCTGGGCTTATCCCCGGAGTTTAAATATTTTATCTGGGTGTGAACGCTGGCGAGGAGCGTTCGTAATGGAAGGAAACAAATGGGTCTAAATGCGCGCCAAATCCCACGTGGAGGAGGGCGGGTCGTCTGCAACTTGCTGATAAGATTTGCTCTCTTCAAATATATTTGTTATTGTTTTCCCAGCATCATGCTAGGGTTTGTGCCGGGTCGGGACCTGCCAGATTGGCACGCTGCGGTGTACTCGGCTAGTTGTGCTTGCGGGGGTTGAGCTCTGGCTCTGTGGTCCCGCCTCTCAACTCTCAATCGACAGGTGTTGAGATTCTTGAGCCTATTGAGCTCTTATCAAAACTACATTTGAAACTGTGTATGGAGTCTGCCTCCACCATATCACAACCACACCTACCGCACTACCACACTGCCACCATCACCACACACACACACACACACACACACACACACACACACACACACACACACACACACACACACACACACACACAGGATGTCTTCACATTAGAGTAAGGAGAAGTTCCAGAGATAAGAGAAGGAATAGTTAACCAGGCACCACTAGAGGAATTTGAGATTACCAGTAGGGAAGTAAGGAAGCTTTTGCTAGAGCTGGATGTGATAAAGGCTATAGGCCTGGATGGAATATCACCATGGAAACTAAAGGAAGGAGCAGAAGCACTGTGCCTGCCACTCTCCATAGTGTATAACAAATCACTGGTAACAGGTGAACTGCCAGAAATTTGGAAGGTGGTAAACGTAGTCCCGATATACAAGAAGGGGGATAGACAGGAAGAACTGAATTACAGGCTAGTGTCCCTAACTTGCATACCATGCAAGCTAATGGAGAAAATTGTGCTAAAAAAGCTAGTGGAACATCTGAAACGAAGGAACTTGACACAACACCAATATGGGTTCAGGGATGGTAAGTCATGCCTCACAGGATTAATTGAATTCTACGATCAGGCAACAAGAATTAGACAAGAAAGAGAGGGGTGGGCAGACTGCATATTTTTGGATTGTCAGAAAGCATTTGACACAGTGCCACACCAGAGACTAGTGCGAAAGCTGGAGATGCAGGCTGGAGTAAAAGGGAAGGTACTCCATTGAATAAGGGAGTACCGAAGTAACAGAAGGCAGCGAGTCACTGTGTGGGGTGAGGTCTCAGATTGGCGAGACGTCACCAGAGGAGTTCCGCAGGGTTCAGTCCTTGGAACTGGACTTCCAAGGACTGAACCATACAGTCTATGGTCATATTCAGACCCATACTGTTTCTTATACGTAAATGAGCTTCCAGATGGTATAGAATCATTCCTCTCATTGTTTCCTGATGATGCATAAATTATGAGGAGGATTAAGACGGAGGAAGACAGTATGAGACTACAAGATGAACTAGACAGTCTGAATGAATGGCCCAATAAATGGCTACTAAAGTTCAACCCGAGTTAATGTAAGGTAATGAAACTAGGCAGTGGAAACAGGAGGCCAGACACAGGATACAGAATGGGAGATGAAGTCCTTCATGAACCGGACAGAGAGAAAGATCTAGGAGTTGATATCACACCAAACCTGTCTCCTGAAGCCCACATCAAAGGAGTAACATCTGTTGCGTATGCGAGGCTGCCTAATATCAGAACTGCCTTCAGGAACCTGTGTAAGGAATCAACAAGACCTTGTTGTCCTGCCTGGTGTCCATGTTGTCCTGCCTGGTGTCCATGTTGTCCTGCCTGCTGTCCATGTTGTCCTGCCTGCTGTCCATGTTGTCCTGCCTGGTGTCCATGTTGTCCTGCCTGGTGTCCATGTTGTCCTGCCTGCTGTCCATGTTGTCCTGCCTGCTGTCCATGTTGTCCTGCCTGGTGTCCATGTTGTCCTGCCTGCTGTCCATGTTGTCCTGCCTGCTGTCCATGTTGTCCTGCCTGGTGTCCATGTTGTCCTGCCTGGTGTCCATGTTGTCCTGCCTGGTGTCCATGTTGTCCTGCCTGGTGTCCATGTTGTCCTGCCTGGTGTCCATGTTGTCCTGCCTGGTGTCCATGTTGTCCTGCCTGGTGTCCATGTTGTCCTGCCTGGTGTCCATGTTGTCCTGCCTGGTGTCCATGTTGTCCTGCCTGCTGTCCATGTCCGGCCTGCTGTCCATGTTGTCCTGCCTGGTGTCCATGTTGTCCTGCCTGGTGTCCATGTTGTCCTGCCTGCTGTCCATGTTGTCCAGCCTGGTGTCCATGTTGTCCTGCCTGGTGTCCATGTTGTCCTGCCTGGTGTCCTTGGTGTCCATGTTGTCCTGCTTGGTGTCCTTGGTGTCCTGCCTGGTGTCCTTGGTGTCCATGTTGTCCTGCCTAGTGTCCTTGGTGTCCATGTTGTCCTGCCTGGTGTCCTTGGTGTTCTGCCTGGTGTCCATGTTGTCCTGCCTGGTGTCCATGTTGTCCTGCCTGGTGTCCATGTTGTCCTGCCTGGTGTCCATGTTGTCCTGCCTGGTGTCCATGTTGTCCTGCCTGGTGACTATGTTGTCCTGCCTGGTGACCATGTTGTCCTGCCTGGTGTCCTTGGTGTCCATGTTGTCCTGCCTGGTGTCCTTGGTGTCCTGCCTGGTGTCCATGTTGTCCTGCCTGGTGTCCATGTTGTCCTGCCTGGTGTCCATGTTGTCCTGCCTGGTGTCCATGTTGTCCTGCCTGGTGTCCATGTTGTCCTGCCTGGTGTCCATGTTGTCCTGCCTGGTGTCCATGTTGTCCTGCCTGCTGTCCATGTTGTCCTGCCTGGTGTCCATGTTGTCCTGCCTGGTGTCCTACCGCCACAGGTCTGGGGACGTGGTCCATAATCTGGTGCTGAATGTTTCTCTAAGTTCCAGTTATCTCTGAAACTTTCTCTTCCTCCGCCTTTTGTGGCTGTCTCACTCCCGCCTCCTGGTGGTGTTGCGAGGTGTTGCCTGGTGTTGCGAGGTGTTGTTAGTGTTGCCTGGTGGTGTTGCGAGGTGTTGTTAGTGTTGCCTGGAGGTGTTGCAAGGTGTTGTTAGTGTTGCATGGTCGTGTTAGTGTTGCGTGGTCGTGTTAGTGTTGCGAGGTGGTGTTAGTGTTGCATGGTGGTGTTAGTGTTGCGAGGTGGTGTTAGTGTTGCGAGGTGGTGTTAGTGTTGCATGGTCGTGTTAGTGTTGCTAGGTGGTGTTAGTGTTGCGAGGTGGTGTTAGTGTTGCCTGGTGGTGTTAGTGTTGCGAGGTGTTGTTAGTGTTGCATGGTCGTGTTAGTGTTGCGAGGTGTTGTTAGTGTTGCGAGGTGTTGTTAGTGTTGCGAGGTGGTGTTAGTGTTGCGAGGTGTTGTTAGTGTTGCGAGGTGTTGTTAGTGTTGCGAGGTGGTGTTAGTGTTGCGAGGTGGTGTTAGTGTTGCGAGGTGTTGTTAGTGTTGCGAGGTGGTGTTAGTGTTGCGAGGTGTTGTTAGTGTTGCGAGGTGTTGTTAGTGTTGCGAGGTGGTGTTAGTGTTGCGAAGTGGTGTTGGCGTTGCGAGGTGGTGTTAGTGTTGCGAGGTGGTGTTAGTGTTGCGAGGTGGTGTTAGTGTTGCATGGTGGTGTTAGTGTTGCATGGTGGTGTTAGTGTTGCGAGGTGGTGTTAGTGTTGCGAGGTGGTGTTAGTGTTGCGAGGTGGTGTTAGTGTTGCGAGGTGTTGTTAGTGTTGCGAGGTGGTGTTAGTGTTGCGAGGTGGTGTTAGTGTTGCGAGGTGGTGTTGGCGTTGCGAGGTGGTGTTAGTGTTGCATGGTGGTGTTGGCGTTGCGAGGTGGTGTTAGTGTTGCATGGTGGTGTTAGTGTTGCATGGTGGTGTTAGTGTTGCATGGTGGTGTTAGTGTTGCGAGGTGTTGTTAGTGTTGCGAGGTGGTGTTAGTGTTGCATGATGGTGTTAGTGTTGCATGGTGGTGTTAGTGTTGCGAGGTGGTGTTAGTGGTGTGTGGTGGTGTTAGTGTTGCGAGGTGTTGTTAGTGTTGCGAGGTGGTGTTAGTGTTGCGAGGTGTTGTTAGTGTTGCGAGGTGTTGTTAGTGTTGCGAGGTGGTGTTAGTGTTGCATGGTGGTACTAGTGTTGCATGGTGGTGTTAGTGTTGCGAGGTGGTGTTAGTGTTGCGAGGTGGTGTTAGTGGTGTGTGGTAGTGTTAGTGTTGCGAGGTGGTGTCAGTGTTGCGAGGTGGTGTTAGTGTTGCGAGGTGGTGTTAGTGTTGCGAGGTGGTGTTAGTGGTGTGTGGTGGTGTTAGTGTTGCGAGGTGTTGTTAGTGTTGCGAGCTGTTGTTAGTGTTGCGAGCTGTTGTTAGTGTTGCGAGGTGTTGTTAGTGTTGCGAGGTGGTGTTAGTGTTGCGAGGTGATGTTAGTGTTGCGAGGTGGTGTTAGTGGTGTGTGGTGGTGTTAGTGTTGTGTGGTGGTGTTAGTGTTGCGAGGTGGTGTTAGTGTTGCCTGGTGGTGTTAGTGTTGCGTGGTGTTGTTAGTGTTGCCTGGTGGTGGTGTTAGTGTTGCCTGGTGTTGTTAGTGTTGCCTGGTGGTGGTGTTAGTGTTGCCTGGTGGTGGTGTTAGTGTTGCCTGGTGGTGGTGTTAGTGTTGCCTGGTGGTGGTGTTAGTGTTGCGTGGTGGTGTTAGTGTTGCGTGGTGGTGTTAGTGTTGCGTGGTGGTGTTAGTGTTGTGAGGTGTTGTTAGTGTTGCCTGGTAGTGTTAGTGTTGCCTGGTGGTGTTAGTGTTGCGTGGTGGTGTTAGTGTTGCCTGGTGTTGTTGTTAGTGTTGCCTGGTGGTGTTAGTGTTGCGTGGTGTTGTTAGTGTTGCCTGGTGTTGTTGTTAGTGTTGCGTGGTGGTGTTTGTGTTGCGAGGTGGTGTTAGTGTTGCGAGGTGGTGTTAGTGTTGCCTGGTGGTGTTAGTGTTGCCTGGTGGTGGTGGTAGTGTTGTCTGGTGTTGTTAGTGTTGCCTGGTGGTGGTGTTAGTGTTGCTTGGTGGTGTTGCGTGGTGGTGTTGCGAGGTGTTGTTAGTGTTGCCTGGTGGTGTTGCGTGGTGGTGTTGCGAGGTGTTGTTAGTGTTGCCTGGTGGTGTTGCGAGGTGTTGTTAGTGTTGCCTGGTGGTGTTACAGTGTTGCCTGGAGGTTTTACAGTGTTGCGTGGTGGTGTTACAGTGTTGCTTGGTGGTGTTACAGTGTTGTCTGGTGGTGTTACAGTGTTGTGTGGTGGTGTTACAGTGTTGCCTGGAGGTGTTACAGTGTTGTGTGGTGGTGTTACAGTGTTGCCTGGAGGTGTTACAGTGTTGCCTGGAGGTGTTACAGTGTTGTGTGGTGGTGTTACAGTGTTGCCTGGAGGTGTTACAGTGTTGTGTGGTGGTGTTACAGTGTTGCCTGGTGGTGTTAGTGTTGTGTGGTGGTGTTAGTGTTGCCTGGAGGTGTTACAGTGTTGTGTGGTGGTGTTACAGTGTTGCCTGGTGGTGTTACAGTGTTGTGTGGTGGTGTTACAGTGTTGCCTGGTGGTGTTACAGTGTTGTGTGGTGGTGTTACAGTGTTGTGTGGTGGTGTTACAGTGTTGCATGGTGGTGTTACAGTGTTGTGTGGTGGTGTTACAGTGTTGCCTGGTGGTGTTACAGTGTTGTGTGGTGGTGTTACAGTGTTGCCTGGTGGTGTTAGTGTTGTGTGGTGGTGTTACAGTGTTGCCTGGTGGTGTTACAGTGTTGTGTGGTGGTGTTACAGTGTTGCCTGGTGGTGTTACAGTGTTGTGTGGTGGTGTTACAGTGTTGCTTGGTGGTGTTACAGTGTTGTGTGGTGGTGTTACAGTGTTGCCTGGTGGTGTTAGTGTTGCCTGGTGGTGTTACAGTGTTGCCTGGTGGTGTTACAGTGTTGTGTGGTGGTGTTACAGTGTTGCCTGGTGGTGTTAGTGTTGTGTGGTGGTGTTACAGTGTTGCTTGGTGGTGTTACAGTGTTGTGTGGTGGTGTTACAGTGTTGCCTGGTGGTGTTACAGTGTTGTGTGGTGGTGTTACAGTGTTGCCTGGAGGTGTTACAGTGTTGTGTGGTGTTACAGTGTTGCCTGGAGGTGTTACAGTGTTGTGTGGTGGTGTTACAGTGTTGTGTGGTGGTGTTACAGTGTTGTGTGGTGGTGTTACAGTGTTGTGTGGTGGTGTTAGTGTTGTGTGGTGGTGTTACAGTGTTGCCTGGTGGTGTTACAGTGTTGTGTGGTGGTGTTACAGAGTTGCCTGGTGGTGTTACAGTGTTGCCTGGAGGTGTTACAGTGTTGTGTGGTGGTGTTAGTGTTGCCTGGTGGTGTTACAGTGTTGTGTGGTGGTATTACAGAGTTGCCTGGTGGTGTTACAGTGTTGTGTGGTGGTGTTACAGAGTTGCCTGGTGTTACAGTGTTGTGTGGTGGTGTTACAGAGTTGCCTGGTGTTACAGTGTTGTGTGGTGGTGTTACAGTGTTGCCTGGTGGTGTTACAGTGTTGTGTGGTGGTGTTACAGAGTTGCCTGGTGGTGTTACAGTGTTGTGTGGTGGTGTTACAGAGTTGCCTGGTGTTACAGTGTTGTGTGGTGGTGTTACAGAGTTGCCTGGTGTTACAGTGTTGTGTGGTGGTGTTACAGAGTTGCCTGGTGTTACAGTGTTGTGTGGTGGTGTTACAGAGTTGCCTGGTGGTGTTACAGTGTTGTGTGGTGGTGTTACAGAGTTGCCTGGTGGTGTTACAGTGTTGTGTGGTGGTGTTACAGAGTTGCCTGGTGTTACAGTGTTGTGTGGTGGTGTTACAGAGTTGCCTGGTGGTGTTACAGTGTTGTGTGGTGGTGTTACAGAGTTGCCTGGTGGTGTTACAGTGTTGTGTGGTGGTGTTACAGAGTTGCCTGGAGGTGGTACAATATTAAGTGTTACTACCGTGTGTAACATTTGTTATTGTTTGATGAGTTTTATGATGTCTTGTGATGATCTCACAACACTGTGTTGTAGTGATGTATTCTTAAGCTGTGAGGTCATAGAATGTGATGCGTCTGATGTTTGGTATTGTGAGATATTCTCTCTCTCCTCTCTCTCTCTCTCTCTCTCTCTCTCTCTCTCTCTCTCTCTCTCTCTCTCTCTCTCTCTCTCTCTCTCTCTCTCTCTCTCTCTCTCTCTCTCTCTCTCTCTCTCTCTCTCTTTCACCCCCCCCACCGTCACCAACTATAGTGGCTCCAAGAAGGGGAAATTATCCCATCTGTGCGTCCCTTCCTTGAGATGCAAATGCTGCCGCTCTCAGCGCTGAGATGGGAGTTAAGGCGCCGCCAGCCCGCCAGGCTGCTCCTTCCACTCTCCTGTGTTTGTCTTCCATTGTGGCTCTTGACGATCACTAGAGAGGTGGGTGGCCAGGTGTGTGTGTGGGGGTGGGCCAGGTGTGTGTGTGGGTGTGGCCAGGTGTGTGTGTGGGGGTGGCCAGATGTGTGTGTGGGGGTGGCCAGATGTGTGTGGGGGGGTGGCCAGGTGTGTGTGTGGGGGTGGCCAGGTGTGTGTGTGGGGGTGGCCAGGTGTGTGTGTGGGGGTGGGCCAGGTGTGTGTGTGGGGGTGGGCCAGGTGTGTGTGTGGGGGTGGTCAGGTGTGTGTGTGGGGGTGGCCAGGTGTGTGTGTGGGGGTGGCTAGGTGTGTGTGTGGGGGTGGCCAGGTGTGTGTGTGGGGGTGGCTAGGTGTGTGTGTGGGGTGGCTAGGTGTGTGTGTGGGGGTGGCCAGGTGTGTGTGTGGGTGTGGCCAGGTGTGTGTGTGGGTGTGGCCAGGTGTGTGTGTGGGTGTGGCCAGGTGTGTGTGTGGGTGTGGCCAGGTGTGTGT